CTTTGCCAGTGGAAAGAGCAATGAACTCGAAGGCAAAGGCTCTACCAGTGGAAAGAACAATGAATGTGAAAGCAAAGGCTCTGGTAATGGAGAAGGCAACCAAGGCACGTGCTCAGCTAATGGGAAGATCTATGCAGATGAAGGCTTTGACAATGGAAACAATACCTGTAGAGTTTAAACCCCTTCATCTTAAAAAACTGAATTTCTTCTGTCAAGGAATTTGGGTATAAGATGATTTCAACTAAAGGTGATTGCGTGAGTGCCTAAGAGAAATGTCTGTTGCAACCATTCAAGTCTCTGTCCAAGCCATTATATTATGTATTGTTTGCCTTGGAAAAACTTATGCTTACGTATCCTTTTCAAATTTCTCTCTGAGTCTTTCAGGATTCAAAAACTAAATCTTTGTCTTATAAGATAATAAAATCCTAATACCAATTTTATAGACCAAGCTACTTTCTTTTCTATGTTTACTAAGTTGTTCTTTTATCAGCCCAATGATTCGTTACTGTAACAAAACGTGCACACGAGGCCAGATGCATGTCAAACTTGCTTAAGAGACAAAATTCACGGACCCTTTTCGCCCATGACCAGGAAGGAAAAAAGGTTGTAAAATCGAACTACAGGAAAAACTTGAATTTACCAAACTATAGCCCTCGGTCCATACAAATCATTTACAAGAGGTAGATATGTCATTGGGAGCTATTAATGCGAGCTTCCAAATTAAATAGATACCCTGCAAATTTTACACCATGTGCTGCTAAACAGAGAGCTATTTCCTAGTCCATCTAGGCCAGAATGAGATAATTGTATCAAGGGGAGATCCCGTGTAGAGAGTTTTGAGTAGGGAAGACTCTGGCATCGCCTGCAGCAAACTTGTGTGAGATGGTTTTGCTCGTCTCTGCATCAATTTACCATAGATTGAGCCTGAAATGTTGTCAGCTTTCATATTTTCTTGAACAAACCTCTACCCAAAGAGAAATTACATTTGAATTGATTCTGAAAGAGTTCATTGCTGATAAAGCTCAGAGAATGGCAAGAAAATTAATGATGTGCAGAATGTCGCGGTTTTGGAGGCCCATATACTGTATCACCACAGTCAATTGGAGTATGCATAAGCGGATTCCATCTATCAAACACTATTCGGCCCCCTCGTCCCATCCTTCCATGAAAGGAGCGTGATGATCTGCCATTTGGGGTTGAACAATTGGGTGGAAATATTACACCCGCTGCTGATAGTTTATATGGATCTATTGGTTTAGTAAACAGCAAAACTGGCTCGTTCGGATCCTGCAGAGAATATGGAAAAGAATAATATGTTAGATATTATAAAGGGTACTGTCCAACAGTTACTTCCCTAAATAACTTAAATCTTTCCACCTATTATGTAGCTCCTTGAATGAATCCAATAAATTGAACTAAACTCAGCTCCTCTAAAGTCTACCGTGAATAATTCATAATCTTTCTGACTATCTTCTGCCATGGCTTCTCTCATCATTATACTAGGCAAAGAACTTTCAGTAGGAATGAGCAATAGACAAGTACCAGTTTATGAAGCCAACTGTGTGGTATATGACGACGTCCAGCCTCTTGCCTCATGCTTCCTGCGAAATCCAGCATTAACTTCGATCCTGCGAAAGGTTGACTTTGTGCCGCAGTAGGTCCATGTGGGTGGCCATTTACCATGTCATCAGAATCTACAAAATCCTCCTCACTTAAATCAACCTTGGTTGGGAAGTACGGTAATCCATGTAGCGCCAGATTATCATCAAGGAGCTCAGTTTCATGCTGGAAAATCCAATCGATATTTTATTGACCTTCTATTACTTAGAAAACAACTCATTTTGATTTATTGTTTTTTTGGTCGATAAATGTAAAATTCTATTGATCAAAATCGTGTACAAGTACACCGAGCATACCCAGGCAATCAAACAAGTAAAATACAACTACTTTGAACATACCCGAACAATCCAAAGAAAAGATATACAAACGATAAGAACAAGAGTCCCAAAACTAACGACTCATAATGAATCAAAACATGTGGATACAAAGCAAACATAATCTTGTACACGTGTGTTTTAATAAGTCTTACAATGCTATCTACTTGTGGGCAAAGATTCTCAAATACCTTTCTATTCCGTACCATCTAAAGTGGTGCTTGCAAGTGAAACCAACTCAGTTTATTCTACAGCAGCATAGTATCAGGTTTAAACCACAAGATACACAACCAATTTCCATTAGAAACCACAATGTCAGAATGTAAGCTAGAATAGGCACAATTGTTGTCTTACCCCTTGTTTATACACACACACACACACACTCTCTATAGATTGAAGGCTATCATATGTAGGTATATATATTGTGTCTAAAATCATCATTACATCAATATCTTGTATTCCTCCTGGATGTCAAATTCTTCTCTAAAAACTTAAGTGCCAAAATTTTCTTTGACTCAATCCAATACAATCATGCTGTTAGAAATTTTTTTAAATGTAGCTTCATTGTTATTCTTTGAAGACTTGCTAATGTCAGAAAATTGTTGATAACAAATATTATTGCATGTGAACATGCAAAAACATCAAATTAATTTGCTTTTCCTTGATTAATTCACAGAAAAAGAAATTGCAAAGGTCAGTGTTATCTTAACTAAAGCACATGATACAACTCATAATTATACATCATGATCCACAAGCCATTACATGGTTAGAAAAGACAACAGTTTGGCACCTAAAACTGGAAATGTGTGTCCCACATGAGCTAATAAGAATTTTAGTAAAAGAAAGATGTCCATAGTAGATTAGCATGTCTTAGGGTGTCTGATTTCACTCATATACAAGCTGTCAGGTTTTACTTCTATTTTTTTTTTTTTTTTATGATTGAAATTTTTTTTTTTTTTTTTTTTTTTTTTTTTTTTTTTTTTTTTTTTTTTTTTTTTTTTTTTTTTTTTTTAAATAATGGCATTTTGGTCATTTCTGTGCTTGCTGAAATGTGGTCCCAGTTGTGACACGGAGATCTTATTTGGTTGATTTGGTGTACAAGTACTATGATCAATCTTCAAAAAGTTACTAAGCAATGAATAACAATTTCAATATTGTCAATAGTTTGGCAAGATAAAATAATTGTGAATACCTTGTACTTCATTTGAATTCTTTGAAGGCTAACCTCGCTCTCCACAAGTTCCCGTTTCTTCTCTTCCCTCTACATAAGACAATGAGGAAGGAATGAGCACTTACTGTCATTGCAAAAGTTTTCATCGCCGTGCGAAGCACAAAGCTTAATCAGAATATCATGAAACTTCTTAAATAATAGGGATCTTTACCTGGATCAGAGTCTCAATCATTGATTTTGCCTGATCAAGGTTCCGCCGGACCTGGAGATGGTGAAAATAAAGATAATCTGAACAGGTGCATTAAGCAAAAGCATTCAAACAAAATTGTAGAACAGAGTTCAAGAGAGGATACTGCAAGTAATTGTATGATGCAAAAGTGCTTCTATATTTCTAAAGTTATGGAAGTGATTTATCAATTTTTAGCTCCCAAGCTCCTCACTCTTCAGCTTCTTGAATGTCACTTGTAAACTCCGTTAATGGCCAGAAATTAGAATTTAAATTCTACAATGAGCAGTAACAAGCAGAAGAAAACATATTCAATGTCCAAGCAAATTTATTTTATGAATATGAACACGATGCAAGCAGCAGGCTTGAATATAATGTTCGTAGTCCAGAAAGTAACCATGGCTCGATCAAGTTGTCAAGTCAAGAGATTCATGCTAATATATAAAATTAGTTCATCAAGGTGGTATTATGCTGCAGCCAAACTTAGAATTCTTCCACAGGAGGGCAAAGAGTGTGTGCAAACTCCAATCAAGAAATGATGCATAATCCAGGGACACGGTAATAGTTGAATAAGTTTTAAATATGAAGAGCATGTATTCAATAACTACAAGCCTTAAAAACTCTAGTGTAATCAACGCAAAAGGATTAAGACCCCATTTGGCCCCCATTATTTCAAATTTTAATGGGTGGAATAGTTTTTTTTTTTTTTTGAGAATGGGTGGTTGAAAAAGAAGAAATTTTTTTTGATTTACGTGTAATATTATTTTAAGGAAGATTGTACGGTTGAAAGTAGGAGAAAGAAAAATAAAATAAAATTTAATGGAGCCAAGCGGGGCCTAATACGACAGTTAATACTTCAGAAAACGTATTAGAACTTGAGTTAAAAATTCTCACTACATCATAGAAAACATGATTAAAGGGAGAAAAGACTAACCTGGCGAAGCTTTTCAAATGACTGTACATTGTTTTCCCTCCTTTGCATCTGTGCAGTATACAGCAAGCATGCACAAGACGCATTATATGTACATTTTATTTCTCAAGGTTTAATAAATAATAATATAACAAAAATAAAAAATTAACCACTTAAAAAAATGTGAAAGCACTCATAAACTAAGGAACCACATACCCTCCTAGTGTGAAGCTTATGAGCTTTCTCCCTTCGCCTGAATACATTGTATGGATTGGTATCATTGACTGGTGGAGGTGGCTGCAATAGAAATTGCAAGGAACAGTTATTAGCAGATACAAGTAGGCAGTTTAAGAAAATAAGCTTCAAGAAAATCAGAGGGAAGGCACAGCTACAAATGAATCCTAAATCAGATGATCAGGAACTGCACATACATAAAGTGGAGTTGATGTAGGACGATCCTATTCCAAATAGGAATTCTTGTTGTACTAGAGTTTTATTTCTTTTTCTTTTTCTTTTTCTTGTTTAGAATAAGATTTCTTTTCCTTTCGTAATTAGAATAAGATTTTTTTTTCATTTTTTCTTTTAAGATTAGGATTTTATTTCCTTTTAAGCTTTTATTTTTCTTTCCTTATACCGGTAAAATTAGGAAATTATTTTGTCTATGTAAACAAAGGCTTTGTACACTTTCAATTAACCTATTCAATATGATCAAATTATTCTCTAAGTATTTTTGAATTTTTCAACTTTATTTCCGCACTAGAAGTTATTGAGAATGACAATATAATGAACCGTGACAAAACTCCATCCTAGAAAGCTAAACTGGTGAGAGAAGAAAATGGAAATATGCAAGCAGCACTTCTAATTGCAATCTTTAGCAACTTAATAGGCAAAGACGAAATTGAGGTCAAATTATGCAGAAACACTTGATCTAAAAGCTTTACCCATTAGATGAGGTCACATGTGATGAATAGCATTTAAATCTTATCTTTAACAAGCCCCTCACATGTAAGCTAAATTCATTTTTTCCCAATGAAAGCATTACATGTGCACCATTTTCGATAAATGGATGGTAGCGAAACTTGATATAATGACCCATGCCTCGTGCCCAAGTCATCATAAACCTATATTACCCCTCACAGCTTTTTATCAAGTCCTCCAAGATTCGAACCTAAGACCTATACTTTATGAAAAGACTTAAGTTAAATTCTAGTATCAAATTATATTACCGCATGCAGGGAATGAAAAAATAATCAAGCCCTGCTTGTTTAATCAAGTGTATCTAAACAGGATTCTTCAATAGTAACAACAACCAATAACACGAGAAACGAACCTGCACACGCCGAAGAATCGGTTTTTGCCATTGTTCCCGCTGGTAGAGAAAAACACAGAGAGGCAAAATTGGCAAAATAATAAGTGAGAATTCATCTTGAAAAAATCATTTAATTATCATAAGCAAAATTGGCTGTAAACCAGCTCCCAATTCCAGCTTAATATGTCACTCTACACGGTCCATTGTACATTAAAAACATTTTCGTGTCCCTTGCCAAACCACCATGTCGTCATTAAGTTAAAGTTTCACGTATCATAGTCACATGCCTTTATATCCCTAACATGCAAGGTTCTAATAAGTATAAATATGCACCAAATAATAATAATAATAATAAAATAAAATAAAATAAAATTCAAAACCATTCAATTCTATGTAAGCAGACTTTGTGAAAATCATCAACCATTTTATCTACTTTTCCCAGTAAACATGCCAATTCAAATGTTTCTTTGTAGTCATAGCTTAGAGGGAAAAAAATTCCCAGTTAATATTCATCAACTACACATATCAGAAGAGCGAGCCTTGCTCGTTCTCATTGCAAAAACTATAGATGCCTAGTGTATATATATAGAGAAATGATCTACTAACCACCGTGTTTATCTTACACTAAGCACCTTTGACATGGTACATGAATCCATTAGTGGATAAGTTTATTGTGGTCTCAAGATTTTTGAGTTAAATTTGTAATCCATCAATAAATTATTGTAACATGTTACAGCGCTTAGCTTAGTGCTTAATAGATCATCTGTGTTTGTGTGTGCGCATCATTGTGATCCAACTTGAGATTGACATGTGTGGGAAATGCAGAAACTTATAAAAGAAATTGCATCTCAACAAATATTCATGTAAAAGTTCAAATAACTTCTATAAAAAATTAAATAAAATTTATAAACAGATAAATGAAAATATATTTCCAAATGATAATTTCAACTTGTCCTTGTTCCCATGTCAAAACATTTTTCGACATATACTAAGATGTACTCACTAATGCATGCTTGCTTTTAAGGGGAGATGGACATGAAATGACTAGAGAGTTCCAAGTTTCTAGCAATGATAGAGAGAAACAATGAGTTAAATATAGGTAGCACTCCACCGATCACAATAATGGTACTGTCAAACTAATTTGATAAGATAAGGTCAACTTTATAATAAAGTCTCAGTCTCATTTTACAGCACAATAGTATTTTTCTGAGATCATATCCAAGTATTCACAGAAAAGGAGATAAAAGAGGTGAGACTATTGCTAAAGTTGCCAAACCATTACAAGAACACTACAGATCCAGACAATTATTTGTTTCTAGTAAAAATAATCCCTAACAGACATCAAAAACATAAATTACATCAAATTGTTACCGATACCTTTTGCTTCCAGTAACTGTAAACAGCTTGAAAAACTCCATATTTGATGGAAAGGGCTTGCAATGCCTATCATGTGAGCAGACAAACTATTAGAAAAATCCAGAGCAACTTACTTGGTAAGAGCCAAAATTGTGAAGAAAAAGAAATAGAAGGCCATAAGCACACTACAATTTTGTTGTTATGTAAGGCAAAGTGCGTATTCCATTACTGTGCTTTGTATAGAATAAGAAAACCAAAATGAATGATCATATGCCAATATGACGAAAGCTTAGCTGTTGTTGTTAGAAGTGTTTGGTGCCTAAGAACCAAAAGATTCTGAAACAGAATTCTCTTGGCGAAGCGAGCCTCGTAAAGAAACCAATGCTGCACCCATGGTGTGGTACACCATAAACTCAACTGATCAAGACCAAATCTTGTACAAAGATCCACTAAACTAATTCTTTGATATATGCATAGCTAGGCTGCCTTCAAAACAGCCTGACTTGAATTGTGACATGACGTGTCACAAACTCCTTCATCAAACCCAGGACTCATCTTGGTTGAGGGCCCTTGAAGTTTGGTAACTTAACAGGTTGAATCTGAGTAAGTGCTGTTCTGTAGACTCCTTAGTTACATTTACATAAAGAGGCCTACATTTTACCCCCACAAGCTTTTAGAATCACATGACTGATGACACTGGTCAAGACCAATTTTTACAACATTACACCCGCCGTTTGGCCCCATTATTGTAACACCCCGAATTTTTCTTACTATTTCTCATATGGGGCCTAAACTTAAAATCAGTCATTTAGCAAATGAAAAGTCCAAAAGTTCTAGTAATACACACGACTCACTCATTTGCATAAATGATTTATTTTGTTTATGTGTATTTTTAGAATTTTATTGTAAGTTATTTGAGTCAAATAATTAAGTATTTCAAAAGTTAATAAAAATATATCAATATTATACTCATTTTGTAGCTCGTGTTAAATAGCATATATTGGGCTCAATAATAAAAAATTTTAGACTAGTTATACCCGAGTTATTTTGATATAAAGAAAGTATTCTAGATTTTATATTTTATTAATAAACGAAATAATAAATCTAAAACTTTCATTCAATTCATACAGTTACGTTGGAAATTGAAAAGAATATTAAGTTTGGAATTCAAAGGTTAAAACTAATATGATGTGCGGTGACCTGAGGATATATGCCAAATTATATATATATATATATAGGTGATCTAACTAGATTGTAATTTCTAGAAAAAAACATGCAATCCCTATAAATTCACACACACAATGTATTAGAAATAATTTATTTTTCTATTCTACAAGCCATTATTTTCAGATTTGATTGGTGTCAATAAGGTAAGAATACATAGTACAAAGTAGTAAATTCTTATTTCTTGATATTTATATAAATTTTGACATGTAATACTATAAGACTTTCGGATCGAATTCTATGTTAAATCCTTTGGGATAGACCTTTAGATCAAGTATGTTAAATCCTACGAGATGGAGCTTTGAGTCAGTTATGTTAAATCCTACGAGATATGAGAATTCTTAAAAAATTCCTTGAGCTCTAAATCTAAGAAATGACGGTATGTTATGTCAATTTTAGATTTATATCACGTTAATAAGAATGTGTATATATTCTTACTGAGTATTTTTCAAAATACTCACTCTTACAATAACTTTTTAGATGAGAACGGGTCGTGTGGACGCGTGAAAAATTGATCGAGTGATACTTATAGGTTCGCCAAGTAAAGTTTCTGAAAAATATAATTGTCAACTTTTATTTGAATAATATCTTTATGTTAATGCACGTTATTTAATAATTTTAGAGATCCAGCATTCGACATTTTATGTTAAATCTTAACCTAATAGTTTGGAATTGAGTATTTCAAAAATTATATTTAATATGAAAACTTTACTTAAGTTATTATTTTATCGTTATCGAATTATCAATCACGTTTTCAAATTTTAAAACTTAATAAAAGTGATATTTTTGCTCAAATTAGATGAAGAAAATTTTGATAACACCTCGAGCCTATTTTTATAAAAGAATAAAATAATGAAGATGAAAAAGATTTCGGGGCATTACAATTATTCCCCATTAAATTATAATTCATTTTTCTGTCTTTTCTCATCAACCACATATTCTCTTAAAAAAATAATATTACACATAAACCCAAAAACTTTTCTTTCTTTTTAACTACACATTCTCCAAAAAATTACTATTCTTCTCATTATAATGAGGAATAATGGGGCCAAACAGGCACTAAGATTGAAGTTCCATTTTATTGTCAAATTGACTTGTTGCACAACTAGTACCCGCCATGGGTTGTGTTTATAATGAAAACATTTGCAAAAGAAATTCAATTTATTAGGATCCAAGCTAGTAGCCACTAAGAGAAGCTGAGAGCTTATATGTGCGAACTCTAAATTTCCTGGATTGTGGTTTGAAGATTTAGTGCTCTAAAACAATTTTCTGTACTAGTAATCTAGTTGACAAGTTTTTGAACAAGAGGGAAAAATTAAGCAACTTCCAGAAATTCTCGCTAATTAGTACCTATGCATCGACCCCCTTGATTTCATTGTATTGCTTTTTAACAAGAACAGGAAAATCAAAGATGAGCTTCCTCCATGATCTGCTATCTCGAGTTTATGTCTAACCGCTTCTATGAAACATAATGTTCCATTGAGCTTCCTTTTCTCAAAAGAAAAAATATTAGAAGGGGAATTGTTACAAAAACCACACAAGGACATTGTAGTCAGAACTCAGGATATATCTATCTAACAAGGTCTTGGTTAAACCCAAGTTCCCTGCTGAGCGAGGCCAAGGACCTCATTTTCTTCAGTCACCTACCATACCTTCTAATAATGAATATAATCTACTTAAAAGAAAAAATCTACCCGAACAAGAAAAGTAAAAGTGATTAAAGTTGTTTGGAGCAATATACTACAGGAGGCGATTAGCAAGTCTAAACTTGAAGGACAGTTATTCATTTAAGAAATTCAAATTAAAGCAAAAGAATGTTCCTCCTCTAGCCGAAAGGATTTATATTTCAAATTTCTCTTCCAAACTCATAACTCAAAATTTCTCTCCCTTCAAAAGCCAACTGAATCTAGTAACTCACTCACTAAAATCACTTTGCCATAAATGAAATTCAATAATAAAAACGTAAATAAAAAATGAAATCAGAACAACAATTACACGGTTCGTAGAAAATGCAATCAGAAAGTAAGTTTCACCTCGGCAGCAGCGCCAAAAGTTAAAAGAATGGGAATAGGCGAGCCAAGTGTTGGAGTGATTACTCCTGCTCTTTCCCGAGCCTTGTGATCTAAAACCTCCAGTTTAAACAAAATTGTCTCAAGCCTGCATCAACAATCATGAAGCACGAGTATAATCGATGGAATAAAAACAGTGAGTAAATTACATGTCATAAGGTGCATTTCTTTAAAACTCATCCCCTCCTCTGCACTTTACAACAATAATTTTATAATGTAGGATAGATCTCGGAAAGAAAAGCAAGGAGGTATATCCCACTTGAATAAGATAATACAATGAAAATTCCAGTGTCACATAGTCAGATTTCTCAGCAAGGTCTAGCATAACATCAAAAACAGAATTTAACTCATCACACAACCAGTTTAAAAGTTAAACAAAAAGTTTTAAACTGGTAGAAAAGTCACAAATCAGAAAATAACTACCGTCTCAAAACAGAATACTCAATATTCTACTGAGATACCAGTTTTTATCACTCCCGCATCCAAAAGATAAGAATGAAATCGTAAAAATATAATTTAAAAAAAAAAAAAAATCATAAAAACATATCACCTTCAGTTCTAAAATTAGAGCTATAGACTGATTTCTCAATAATTACATACATGTAGATAAAATGATTAATATGTAGTAAACAGAGAAAAGACAAAGTAACAAGAAAAAGATGGAAATAGAAGTTATGCGGAAATTTAAGAGAGATTATTACATTTCAGCATCAAGAGTTCTTCTTTCTCCGTTAAATTCTAGAAGCCAATCTTCATCTTCGTTGTCAAGATCGTATTCAACAACTTCACCAATCTCAGCCCGAACTGTAAGCAATAAACATAATTATAAAGCATATACGGGAAAAAAATCACAGCCAATCAGCAGCTTTTATAGTTGAACTACCTCCCCTCGCATGCACATATGATGTTGGTTGACAGAAAGTACAGGAGTAGTCTCTTTCATATGAATCCACAACCACAAACTTGGGAATAGGTATTTCTGAAGCAATTTTCTTGATAGGTATTTGTCGCACCTGCGAAAATATACTCGAGGCATTAATTAATCAACGCATAAACAGATCTAGAAAACACATTTACCCCATCTCATTGTACCTCATGCTGAAATGTTACATACAGGTGTGACATGACAAGAAGCAATTAATCTTACATTGGCAAAGATTTACAAGTCTTGCGAAAGCAATATGTATCATTACTCTGAACCAGCAACAAAGCATGGTGTACATTCTATCAGAAGGCTTTTTAAAAATCAAAGGCCAAAAAGAATTTGTTAGTCGCAATAGGATCCTCAATGTTGCTGATGAAGAAATCATATTGTCACACCTAGACACCTTTTAAAAAAAAAAAAAAAATTGATAAAGATAAAATAAAACTGGAACTTGGATTTACTGTGTCAGTTCAGCTGCTGTTTCAGTAAGGGAATTGCACACCACCATTCTTGTTTGATTTTAAAATGCCATTAATTCAGTTAAGTTCATATCGACATATCCTTGATACAGTTATAAAAGGTCCTCGTTATAAGTTCTTCATTAGCAATTCTTTCAGTTGTACAAGCATGCTCAACATAGATTAAATTTATATCAGCATGAAGAGATCTTTTTCTTTTTGTTTCCATACATTATAAGCTAAACAAGGTTTCATACTGCAATTATTAGAGATTAACCAGAAGATATTTTTCAACTATTTTTTGGCCAAATATTACAACCTCCATACATTATCCAACATTCAATTTTGATTTGGCAAATGATTTGAGCATGAGTGGGGAAAATATGAGCAAAGTATGTTAGCTTTTGTTTTTATGAGGATGTTTGAGCCCCATTTTTATGAAAAAATGCATTTTAAAATAGTAGATTGGTGGAAAAAGTGTGGTTGAAAAATAATGAAAAGTTTTTGATTTACATGTAACATTATTTTAATGAAGAATGTGTGGTTGAAAAGAAGAGAGAAAAATGTGTTTTGAAAAAATTGAGAATCAAACAAAGCTATATGTGATAAATAAAGACAGAGACAGTATTTTATCTTTCCGTATTGTATTTGTTGGATTGTCTTATCAAGATATTGTGACAACATCCTGAGACCTAAAACCTTTTTTTCCCTTTCAAGAAAACAGCAATCTTGGCCTCCAGGTTGGGGAAAAGAGGGGAAAGGAGAACTCATCTCAAACCTACAAATGGACAATTGGAACCTTGGAATTTTGTAACTGAAAATCATTCCCGAGCGCATGAATTCGTAAGGAGACCTGTCTCCAAATTTAGATGTAGCGCAGATCCGAGTAATCAAGGAATAACACGATAACAGGGTATGACTGCCATACTGAACACTTGACTTGCTGGGATGGAGATTAGAACCGGGACCATAAGATTTACTACTGAGAACTTGCTAACAAGGCACGAGGTGGTGGTACACACAATACAGATTACAATAGTTATCCTAGAAATGATCAAACTATGCAACGAAATATACTCCAAATAACAGCCACCATACTACAGACTTAAATCCAAATATTCAAGGAAACATATTTAATTGGCAAGAAAATTGCTGGATGGCTAGCATGTAGCATGGAGTTAATTTACATAACATAATTCCATAATGTGCTTCAATTGAAAATGGCACCTCATTATCAGCCTCTGCAGCAAAACGCACTATCTGGGAGGTACGGTTAGAAGTGGAAGCCTCGTCATCTTCAAGGTCCTTAACAGATTTTAAAATGGGAAGCTTCTTGTGGATGTCGAGGGGTCGAGGCCTAAATGATAGCCTACTCATTGCATCAGTTCAGCCTGTTACTATGCCACGAGGCTATGACGGTCCTAATATACAGTACCAAGTTAAAAATTCAAAACAAAAGTAAGAAATAATTGCTAACATTACTGATTGCAATTAACAGTAAACAGCAATCAGTAACCACGTATGTTCAGTGGAAGTGGAGAATTGGAGCAGTGTTACAACTTACAAACCACAATTATCATTTTTTATTTAAATTAAAAAATCGCGCCCTAAGTGCGCTCCAAAACCCTAGCACTGTATATACAGGCATACCGCATGCATGTGTATATAACTATATATGCATAGCTAACCTGGATAATTTTACGTACAAATCAACAGATTACGTGCATATATAAACCCACTCATCACACGCATATATTGAGAAGGCATCGCAAGCATACCAGCAAAAGGGGAGAAGTAAAACGGTGTCGGTGAAAAGTGAAAAAAATCTCAGAGGGAGGGGGAAGAGGGTTTTGGAATTAGGGCATGAAGCCTGCAAAGGGATGGTGCAGGAGTAGGAAACGGAGAAATCCGGACCCGGAATTCGACAAACCTGATCCGAAAATGTAAGAAAAAATGGGCGCGAGAACTTCCGGTATCTTAGAAAGAAATGCAATCAATGGACCGGGCCACATAGGCCCAACTAGCGGCAGCTCAATTTTCCCCTTGCCCACCCGTTTTTGGGAAATTTGCAATTTTCTTCCTCAATCGTTACAATCTATACCATCAATCTTTCAATTATTAGTATTATTAATGTTTTTTGGTGCATCAAACATCCTGACTTTTGACTTGGTGCTTGTCTGGTGAAGCATTTTCTTAAAAATTATGTGTGCTTTTTTTACCGTTAAACTATCAGGTAAGATTCAATGTGTGAGTCAAAGTCAACAAAGATAGCTAATTTTGGTTTGCAACGATCCAAAAAATCATTTTTTTCCCCTAAAAAGCGGCTCCAGACAGGCCCTTAATTACAAATCACGTCCCAAGCCCATTTTTGCCATTGAATTCATCATCTTTAAATAATAAATAAATAAATAAAGTAAAAATGCAGCATGAGTTCCAAACCTTTTTTCAAAATTACAAATAAATCACTACTAAAACAATTAGAAATTATTTGATTTAGCTAAAAAATTATATTTTTAGTAAATTTTGATAAAAATTGATAAAATGTATAGTTACAAAGTTGATAAAAATTTTGCATCTCATAAAATATATTGTTAAAAATGAGTTTGAAAAAAAGAAATTAAAAACAAGGATTAAACAAGAACTAAATACTCAATAAACCAAAAAGTAAAAGATATTTTATTGTGTGAATGTATGATTGAAAATGAGTATGAAAAATGAATTGAATTAAAGTAAGCCCTCATTATTTGATGTTATAATTTTGGGAATAATGTTTTTTTTTGGAAAATGTGTAGTTGAAAAAAAGAAAGAATCATATTATTATTTTATTGGATAATGTGTTGTTAAAAAGAAAAGAGAAAAAATTGTACTATAAATTTGCTGAGGCTCAAATGAGACTTGGATGATATCAAATAGAGGCACAATGACTTACTAACATGCTAGAGTTCTTGTGTCCTAAGTTACCACGAAAATTTACAATGCTTTCAAAGATCTAGTAGAGATGGCAAAATAATTCGTACTCGAGGGGGAGGCGAGCGTGGGAGTCCCTTCCCCGACCTCATCCCATAAATAATAATAATAATAAAATAAAATAAATATTGGAAGAGGGCGATGCCAATGACATGAGTCTGCACGTTTACAATTAAGAATTAGCAATACAGATTCTCGAAGATACTAATGAATTATAAGACAAAAAAATAGATTATTGGACTCTTATCAAACAATGGGAGGTTGCATTTAGAAGTCTGACCACATTAACTTAACAAATGAAACATTAATTACATCAAAGGAATAAAAAAATGTACCGTCGTTCCCATTTGTTACGAGTTTTCGTTTGATTATCATTTTTATCAAAATATATTTTTCTTTCTCTTTTTTAACCACATATTCATAAAATAATATTACACGTAAATTTAAAATTTTTCTTTATTTTTCATTCACACATTCTCTATCAATCAACTATTCTAAAATTTATTTTTTCATAAAAATGAGTGTCAAACACTCTCTCATGATCATTTAATAATATATAGACATGAGATGTGCCCCCATTTTCTTTCCACCGTCCTCCCACCTCTCCTTTATTGCATAGTATAAAATTTTGAAAAATAAAAATAAAAAACAAACAGGGCAAATTACCGTCCCGCCCTGTCCAAGGCACTCTCATTTCTAAGATCTAGAGACTCAAACTTCAAATGATATTTTATTGAAGAATATTAAACAAAATTCCTATCAAACAAACAAACTCAAACTAACGATCAATAATCAAAATTCCTATCAAACAAATGCATAGAGATTCAATCTTCAAACAAACTCAACCCACCATCGCACTTGACTTTGAATAGAAAGAAAGAATGGTGAAGGGCGAAAATTCGCAAACAAGTTTGACAATTCGTGTTTTGGAGGCCCACACGACAAATGGGAAGACATTTTCTTGGGCTTGAAGCATAAGCCAAAGGCTAAGTTACGTGTGTCCCATTCAGACGTTCCAAATTCACTGGAACTGTGGAACATAAAACCCTTCCCTTCCCTCTCCAATATCCATTTACCTCTACAACACAGCCGCACCGTTTTCCTTCTCTATGGCGGCGTAAAACGCAGAGGAAAATTTAATATTGCTGTGAATTAAGATGCCTACTTTTACGGCTATTGCCTTGGAGAATTTGCTGGAACCTCGAGTCCGAGATTCCTGCAAAAAGCCCCTTAAGCCTAACCAGGGAGCGTCGAACGATGATAACGAAGCAACTGAACGAAGAGAAGACTCGAGCGCGAACCCGAGAGTTGGAGGCTCCAGGCACATCTATATATCTCCGGCTCTCTACGTGACGCCGGAACCGGCTTCGATTCCGGGAAATTCTTCCCCGAATCCGTCCTCGCCTTCGCCGTATGTCGTCAACCACAAGAGACGCGGTGGCGTTGAGAATGGTAGTCGGAGGGTTGAGAAATGTGATGTTCAGGATGTGAACCCCGAAAAAGACGGAAATTATTTGAATTTGGAGGAGGGGGTGGTGGGCGATTTTGTAAATGAGAGTGAGGGTTCGAAGGTGGACAACGATGGTGAATATGATGATGAGGGAATTTCCGATCCGAGGAGTGACCGGTTGAGCGTTGGGAGTTTTGACGAGGTTAGTGATTTTGAAGGAAGGCAAATCGAGAGCCGGAGCTTTGGATCTGCTCAAGCGGAATTTTTCGATGCAAATGATGGTAAATTTAATGTCTTTAGTTAATGATAATTAGCCTACGTGCATTGTGTTATGGTATTACATGTTTCTAGTTCTGTGAATGGCAGATATAATAGGTGAGTTGCATGTCAAATTCCTGGTTGGGACTTATATAACAGTAAATAATGAAGGAGCAATATAATTTTCTGCAATATGTGAATCAGTAATTTACTGCATATATGGTAGCATTGTGTTTTATTTCGGATATTGAGAATAGATTCTTTGTTTTATTAACCATATAAAATTCATGGGATAATGTAAATAACAAACTGATTGGATAAGTAATAATTAGTCAAGTCTACTGTTGTCTGCTAAACTGAATTCATTAGATGTTTCTTTGTGTTGGCACAAAATGGGGGAAAATGGAAGGGCTTAGAAAGGGGACCCGAGTCTTACAATGATTGAAAGATAATCAGGAAGAAGAATCATTGAGTGCGTTATAAAGTAGTGTAACCTTCATCTTGTCAAAGCTATAGAAAAGAAAAAAAGATAATTATGTTGATTTAAACCACAACAGAGTTATCTTTCGGATTATGATTAGTTATGTGGTAGCCCTTGATTTTAATCCCTTTTTATGTAGGAAAAGTAGATGTCTAACTTGAAAGGTTTTTTTTTTAAGATCCAGTATAGGATGACTTCACAGAGCAATTGAAGAGAACAAATATGCCTGCAATTTCATTTGTTGCTAATAGCGGACTGAATTGCTATTAACTTGACAAGTTTCATTTTCATACAGAATTCTCCTGCAGTTCTTCAAGCGGGTCTTCACATGGTCTTAGAATTGCAGCAGACTTGCATGCCACACGGCTCAGTCTTCTTGAGGAAATCGAAAGGCGAAAGACTGCAGAGGAAAATCTGAAGTTGATGTGCTATCAGTGGGAAAGAATCAGTAATCTTATATCTCAGGCAGGGTTAACATTTCCTGCCCCTCCAACTGTTAGTGATAGTATGCAGCTCGGGGACAATTCTATGTATCAGTTCTCCCAAGAAGTTGTCATTGCTAGGTTTGTGGCTGAAGCAGTAGGTAGAGGTCAGGCACGTGCTGAAGCTGAACTTGCTGCTAATGCAATCCTAGAATCGAAAGATCAGGAGATCTCACGATTACAAGACAAACTGCTGTATTATGAGACAGTGAATCATGAGATGTCCCAGAGAAATCTTGTTGGTATGTTTTCACAAATCATGTTTTGTTTTCCGTCTCAGAAAGGTTAGGGATTAAACATTGAAGCACTAGCTGCTTCTTTTGAAGTTAGCATGTTTGGCTAAGCTTAAGTAGTTTATTTTTATTGATCAAAGTTGGAAATAACTGAGAGAATGAGAGTCACATTGAGTACTTATAGTTTTATTTATAATCTTTCGAACTGAGAGAGTATGCTAACTTTATTTCGCGTTCAGATCACATTTGATGACTATCAACTAATGGATCAAAATCTTTTGAATGTTTTTATTTTGAGACAGATAACGAAGATCTCGTGAGGTTTCTTGTGAAAGTTTTTTTTTTGTATAACATATTTCATAGCATTGAGTTTTATTAGCAATCTAAACATTGTAACATTTTCCTTATTTTTTAGCTGAATGGTTTTTCCAATCTGCATTTGAAAAATTTACTGGTTTTTCTGGCTTTTCCATTTGTTGGTCTATCATATGTTGGGTCAAGTACAAACAAGAAGGCAGTTTTTCATTGATTTTAGACGGTGCAATCTTCTTTGTTTAATCATTCCTTATGTCAAATCTGCAGAAGTTGCACGGAGGCAACAACAAAGGAAAAGAAGTCCTCGTAGGTGGTTGTGGAGTTGTTTGGGACTGTCCATTGCAGTTGGGGCTTCAGTGATTGCTTATTCATACATTCCAGATACAAGTAAATATCAGCCACTGCTGAACTCTGGGGCTTCAGTTGATGCTTCTCACATCAGCACATCCTCAGAAACCCCTTAGAAAGTAGTCCATGGCAGTTCTCTTTGCTGTTTGCTCTACTTTATGTTCTATTTTGTGTTTTGCTTAGAGCTTAGGTGATTAAATCCAGCGGAAGTTAACAGTTGATCTCAGTGATTTGCTAGTATAATGATAGTTATTATTTTTATTTTTTATTTTTAAATTCGCTCCATGCAAATATTTTGGGTGGGGAATGTTTGATGATGTTCTTGAAAAGGGCACAGGGAGCTTTGCATTATTTATCCTTATTTAGGGTCATTTGGTGCTGACTTTTTTGCTATTTGAAGGAGGATTTCTTTCAAGATGGTGTTCATCATCAGCTATTGCCCACTCCACTTACAATTATAAGTTTAAATAACTTGGAGTTTAAGAGCGCGTTATTTTAACTTCTTGAGAAACAATGAACCGGAAGGTGATAGTTAAAAGTACTAATGACATAGGTGGCAGAGAGTGCAATGAGAACCGTTGGGCAGAGATTTAACTAAAATTCTTTGGCTGCTACATCTTCTGCTTGTACAGCCTCTTAATTCAAGATTTTCAAGTGAAACTGAAGGTCATCTTGATGAAAATTGTCAACTATGATTTGTAAATCAATTAAATTTTTTACATTAAATGATTGGACGGACGGGCCCTGTCCAAGAAGATTTATCCATGATTTTGAGTTTTAACGGATCATAGTCATGAATAATTCCTGTGCAAATTCAAGAAACTCGATCCTCAAGAATCGATTGTGGACAATCTATTAGAATGTAGTTGGAGAAAGTGGAGGAGGCATGTCATCCACAAACATGTAGTCACAAAAGCATGCAAAATATCAACCATCACCAATGTACTAATATAGCTGCTGCGTTCTTGCATATGTTCTTGAGTTAAAATATGTAGCAAATCAAATAATTACAACAATTCAGCAATTGTCCGAACAACAAGGGTAGAAGCTATAATCTGCAGGATAAAGCCAGGTTCATTTATCTGCAAACACCGGTATGATATTTCCTTCCTCGCTGGGCATCTCACTGGTTGCCCAGTGCAAGGTCATGCCAAGCGTCCACCTCAACTTGTTGGGTCTCCAGATCTGTGAACAAATTTGTATTCGACATAGAACTAACTCAAGAAAACACTAACAAATAACATTGCTGAAATTGCACAGAAAAAGACAATTTTGAGTAATAGCTGCACGTCAAACCAGCTTATACAAAAATAAAGCCAACGAATGCTATAGGATCGATGTAATTTGTTCAGGTTGTTGAAAATGCTATGATGAAATTAAATGATGGACTAACTTCCAGACCATGGATCAGAAGAGGGTCAGAAAATCCAAATAATTTTAATGCAGATTACATCAAATTTAATTCATAGTGATCTCTAACCAGCTTTAGTTCATTTATGATGGGTGAAAAGAAGTGTATATAATAAAGCAGGAGCCAAGTCCCATTCGTAAAATTTGCCTCGCGCTTCTTCATCTGAATTACACTCTTCTTCCGAGAGAGAGCTCTCACTGACACACATACAGTTAATAATATGTAGTTGGGGAGAGAGAGAGAGCTGAAGAGCTCCTTTCAATCCAATGTGGAGGGCCAAGGAGTGGTTAGAGCTGCCATCTCATGCATTTGGTTATGCTTAATGTGGAGATTTTGAGGGTTAAGTTTAACAAGTGCATGATATGAGAGCAACTCTTCCGTTTGCTTCGCCTGTTAATTGGATTGAAGGGAGCTCTCAGTGATCACTTCACAGGCATGCATAAACAATTATTTATCCTTCTAGTTCATATTTATATGGACCATGACACATCATTTTTACTTCCCCTTGTTTTATTCTGGTTTTCTTCTCTCTCCATTTATTAACTTCTTTTAGTTTTAATAAATTGTTATTTGATGTATCAGGAGACGTTTTCAAGAAAAATAAGGAAATACAGAGAGCCATTGGAAAATCATGCCTCCAGTAAGTTGTGAATTGTGATTATCATGAGATCATCTGAAGCATTAATAATCATAGTTATACAGTGTATACTTTACTTTCTCTTGAATGAAATGAAGTTATTTCCCTTACGTAGAGAAAAATGTATACTTCTGAAGCTGGTTTGCTAAAGCTAATTAAGTATTAAAAATTTGTTAAAAATGCATAAGCATCTATAGATTTCATTCAGAATGAAACCAGTAAAAACATAGCTCAAGAGATTTATACAGCAACATGGCTCAAAACTCTGAAATACATAAAAAGCAACATGGTTCGTGAGATTTTATAAGTTTCAAATACTAAAATTGAACCTAAGAAATATAAGATTGTGATGTAAATTTGTAGTGAAAGATATTTATGTATTTCCCTAATGTATTCACCACCGAACCACATTTAATATCCTAAAGATGATTAATAGTAACTAAATCACCTATCATTTCATTTTTACATATAGATTCGTAAAAACCATCAAAAAAAATAATAATTAACAACTGTATCTTTCACATCTATAACATACAAAAATAAAGAAAAATGCTTAATTAATAGAAGTTTATGTCAACATGCAAAGACAATTGCAACTGTAAATTAAATGTATCAAATTTACATTTTTTTATATCAAACTGTAATTTTCCAAATTATCCTCTATAAGATAATGTCATGATCTCATAGCAGATAATCGTTTATCCACCTTTTTGCCTACTGATCTGAGAGATGAGGTTTGAAATTTCAATTTATGTCGGACATACGTAGAAAATATAATAAAGTGATTCAATTTTACAAGTCCGTCCTTAAAAATTGTGCTAGGAAACTTGAGTTGTGATGTAGGATTAAAAAAAAAAAAAAAAAAAAAAAAAGCCGTTGCAATTTGTGTTACTTGTGGAAAAATCTCAATAATACACATCTGTATAATATTCTTATTCCGTGGGACAGGTCATCGGATTTTCCAACTTTTGTGTAGGCTTTTTCAAGACAATCATGATATGGCTAATCAATTACTATTATCTTTCCACCAACAAGCTCAGGAATGAATTTGCAATAAAATTTAATTCAATAAGCATGATTTCATTTAGTATGGAAACACATAAAAGGAAAAAATATGTTTCATAATGTTTAAAACTCTGGAAAATAGAAAGATTATGGAATTATGCAATTGGACTTCAAAAACAGAATTTGTGATTCCAGCTAAATTCGAATTGCTTCTTTTAGGAAAGTTTGAGAGCTTTTTTTTTGCAGCCAAATCAAGTGTTATTCTCATAAGCTTGTTTATCCAACCCCGCCCCTCCCTCTCCCTCAAGCAAGTTCGGCTTTTAGTTCAAGAGTGAACTGGTGACTCAGAATGCATAAATTATTCTTCAGAACAAGTAGGCATCAATTAACCACCGGATAATGGAAATAAACTGCACATTGCATAATTCCAATTAAATTCTCAGATAGATGGAGGAAACAACATACTCGAATCTTCAGTGTCATCCGTCCTAGAAGCCAGTACAGGTGGTAATGGAAGATCTGAAAAGGTAAACATTGAATTCAAGTTTTATTATAATTTGAAACATATACGACGAGTTAATTAACTTGGAAAATTATAATGTGTCAAGATTATTATCAACAATTAGTCCCCAAATAACTTCAAGTAGAAAAAGTACCATCATCAAGCAGAGTGTCTCTTGCCCATTCTTCATCCACTATATCTATGAGAATACCCAGGCTCAATTCCGCCATTATCTATTTCAAACAAAAGGAATCAATTTCCTGACGCAAAAATAAAATACAGAAACATCCAAATGTGAAAATTGGAATTTGCAAAGGAAGTTCAGAATTCACCAAAAATGAGTTTCTGATTTGTATGTAAGAGGAAAAGTAATGATTGATGAAGTATGCAGTTAAGCATCAAAAGATCCTAATTTTACCTTTCGAGACAGGCAGGAGGAGGACGAACTTCGGAAAACCTAACGAGGGGAAGATAATTTGAATTTTTTCCGCGAGTAGCTCGTTTGGCCCCATTTTTTCCAAAATTTAATAATTGGAATAGTATTTTCCTTTTTCTTGAATAATGTATGATTGAAAAGGTGTAATATTATGAAAGATTGCGTGGTTAAAAATAAAAGGAGAAAAAAATGAAAGAGAATGGAGCCCAAAAAGGAGGCATTTTCCATGGAAAATTTTCCATATCAAACATAGCCTAATTTAAAAGCTATCGGCAGCAGCTCTGAAACTTTTTGACATGGCAATGGCATTAACTCGCTCCCCTTTTTTCCCCAAATCGAAGTCCCATTTTTCAGCTCGTTAGCAGCTTGTGTTACCATTCCAATACCATAAGTTCTCTTTCCTCCTCTCTTTCACAGATGGCCGTTTTGTACCAACCCTTCAGAAAACGTGTTACATCCATAAGCCTCTAGTAACACTACGCGGCAGCCATATAAGGAGCGAACTTGGGCCCATACTCCATGTTATCCTGCCTATTTGACATTTTGGTCGAACACTCATGAATGGTTGAACCTCCAAGAAGCCGTCGAACTCATGACGGGCCAAACCCTCACGGACAAGGTGACGCAGTAGGGGAATTAATTGTTCCATTGGTCCCTGATGTTAGGTCCGTATCTTTAATTGATCAAAGTTTTAAAATGTCGAGTTTTGATCATTAAATTTAGGTTCATATTTTCGATTGCTCATCAATGTTTAAAATGTCGAACCAGTGGTCAAAATTTGACATTTTAAACTTCAATGAGCAATCGAAGACATGAACATAAATTCTGTGATTAAAATCCGACATATTAAATTTCAGTGACCAATCAAAAATATGAATCTAAGATCAGTGATCATTGAAACAAAGGGACTCTAAAAATGGGCTTCCTTGAAGATTATTTGTGAATAATTAATGTAATAATTCATTACAACACTCATCTATAAAGTCAACAGGTCAAATCTAAACACTATGCGTTAGGTCTAGGGCGACAAAAAGGTACGAACATTAAATGTGTTAGATTAATTAACACCCGTGATTGAATGCCTCGATCATGTGGATGAGGTCACGTGCCCTTGCATCTAGCAGTCCTAAATAATCATCTTCTACTATAAAAGTTCGCACTTTAAGGTTATGCAAGTTCAAAATTTGAAACTATAACTCTTTTTTCTATAATCCCCAAAATCGTTCTCCTTTTACATAAGAGGTCCACTTCTAAAACTCCTTTTACACTCAATTACTTATATTATCAACTGACTTGACAGTTGGAGTATACGCATTTGCCTCCCCAACCTTTGGAGAAGTTCACGTCTATCTAACGGTTTATTTGACCAAACTTAAGTAGGCGTGAGATGTCTTGGAATTTGCTGACCAGGTTGAAGGTACAAAATTCAAGGTCAACAAAACACAATCCCAAATTGGTGAATTTCTCCCTCTTCTTGGATTCCACTGGACTCCAAAGGTTGGGGAGGCAAATACGTATACTCCAACTGTCAAGTCAGTTAATAATATAAGTAATTGAGTGTAAAAGGAGAAGTTCACGTCTATCTAACGGTTTATTTGACCAAACTTAAGTAGACGTGAGATGTTTTGGAATTTGCTAACCAGGTTGAAGGTACAAAATTCAAGGTCAACAAAACACAATCCCAAATTGGTGAATTTCTCCCTCTTCTTGGATTCCACTCTGAGTCCAGAAGCTTGACTCAGAAAACTGAGGCAAAACAAATAGACAAATCCAATCCCCCGCCCCACCCCACCTTATGCCCTGTTTAACAAAAAAACCCGTCATAGAAGAACCGGAGGATCCGGAAAACTTCCTAGAAGTTTCCGCAAAATTACGAGAAGATAGCATCATAAATAGTGTAGCCAAGATGTTCGACGGACTGTGCCAAGACGGGTTGACCCATGAGACATTAGAATTCTTTTTGAAGATCAAGGATAAACATAATACATGATCTCTACATACAGCCATCGAGTCATTGTCAAATCAAGGAATGGAAATGTATGGATCCCATTCAATTTAGGCGTCAGAAGCACGCTTTTTCCCACTTATCCTTTAACATTGTTCAACTTGAGCCAGCTAAAAATTAAAAAACCATATTGACTTGAATACACAAACGTGTTCAAAGGCTAATTTAGCTCGGAAAAGGAAGCTAGAAAGAGAAGACGGTGATAAAAGCGCAAGTAGTTAAATGTTCAGATTCTATGAACGTTATAATTTTTACCGAGTCTTTCAGTACGAATATGGGTCTATCCAAATCCAATATCAAACTGAACATTACACGAGATATCTCTAGATGCCTTACAATGAGAATAAGTTACCAAAATAATCACACTACAAGGTAATCCTCTCTGTTTGGGGGACAGGCAGTAGTTGCAACAAAATTATTGGCCTGACCAGAAAAGGTGTAATCATGTGGATTGGTGCTTAGAAAGCGATTTCACAAGGACGAGATAAGAGGTTGAAGCTTTCAATTTTCCAGGAGCCTTTCCCCCAAACCTGGACCACCTCTGATACTAGCTCTCACAAGAAACCAATATTCCAAAAGCTGGTTAGGCAATAGCAGTAACCTTAACATGATGACGAGCAGTGATTGGAGGATGATGAAATCAACAACAATTGCTAATAGCCTCTCTTGCTAGGGCATTCCGATGCCCTGTGGCCAGTCCGTCCACAGTTGAAACACGCACCCCCAAAATTTCTGTTCAATACAATACGAATGAATATCAAATGCAAGATAGATTAGACAGGTGCAAATATACTAGTTAAAACTCTAATTGCAAATGATAGATCTGATTGCAATTATAAAACTGTGCCCAATGGACAAAAAGTATCAAACTTGTAATTTAAAACTCCTAAATCGGGATCTCTGATTATTTGGAAAACAAGCTTCTGAATATTACACGAAGACGAAGTATAACCTGGTTTCCTTAAACCAAAAGTACCCATCAAGTGAAGTAAGAAATTTAGAACGAAAACAAGAAAAGAATTACCTGTCGCTACTTCCAAAGGAAGAGGACCGCCCTGATTGCCTATCACCAATTAGCCAGTCACTGCCACCGCTTCTGCTTCTGCTTCTAGAGTTTCCAGACCAACTGCTTTCACTTCTTCTGCCACGACCACCTTGCCTGAAGTTATCTTCGCCATCATCACTATCCCGCCTATCCCGAGAAAATCTACCACCCCTCCGGTCTTTTGAAACTCTTTGTGAGCTTCTATCACTGTTTGAAAACCGGCCATAGTAATCACTTGGAGGTCCATCGTCTTGCAAAGCAGGCAACTAAGAAATAGAATACACATAAAAAGATGGCAAGTGGATGTTATTAAATTGATATTGGGACTTTAAAATTTGTGGATTGAAATTTGACAAAAGAATTATAGGGTATTATACTGAGAAACTGTGAACCAAATCAGACTTGCCTTGGTTATTTTGCTCATAGTGTTCCCAGGAGGTAGCTCCCTATTCAGCAACTCTTTTGCAATCTCTTCTGGAAGATCAAAAACTGCTCCTTGGAGCTGAAAGGCCATGGCCAATTATTTATTGAGACACGATTTATCAATATTGATGCAGCAAAGGAACAAAAAAACTTGGTAGCACACCTTTTCATCTGCAATAATGTGTAGTTTCCCTACTTCATCAGCAGCAGCAGAATAAACATCAGAGAGAAACCCGGTGACAGATCTAGCAGATAGGAATCCTCGAGAATAACCAGTTTCACGGGTCAATTGTAACGTAACTAATCCCTACAATGTAAACAGCAGTTCAAATTCAGTACAAATCACAAAGCATATGACCATACGGAGAAACAATTAAATGATCCGTGCAGCACCCAACATAGAAGCGAAGACATAAAAATCCATCTTTAGCAAAAGCATAAGTTCACAACCAACAAGATATGAAAAGATCAACACAAATATCACTGTAAAGGAAAATAGAAGTCATGGAAAGTAAATGAAATTACAAATCAGCCAAAAATTATGTAGGACAATAGCAATCGGAACTTTTAAAAACATATTTGTCAAAGCAGTCACATTCAAAGGAACACACATTTTAGGAGGTAAGCCAACAAATTGACAACAGCTATCCCATCATGTACCTGTTCATGGCTAATAAGAGAACGAGATGATGGGGGCTGGGAAAAACCACTCAAAGTTGCTAGAGCAGCAGCAAGAGCATTTAGTCCTTCTTGTTCCATCAATTTTTGTGCAGTTGGGGTGAAGTACTCCACAGACTCGGGATGAACCCCACTGAGGGTAGCCACAACTTGCTCAGCTGATGATTCCAAAACCTCTTGAACAGATGGTGGGCTAATAAATTCAAACTTGCACCCGACATCACGCTCAAGAGATTTGACAGTCCGCCTTTGGCTGCTTGTAAACATCAAAACAGCAGTCCCTTCTTTTCCTGCACGTCCTGTCCGACCAGAACGATGCACAAATGTTTCTGGGTCATTCGGGAGCTCATAGTGGATAATCTGGATGACAGAGAAAAGCGTTCATAAAATTCAAGCAAGTGGTCAAAGATATAGTCAAGTAATTACGAAGATGCAATGGTCTTCTGAGAACAGCCAAGCAAAACAATAAAGCTGCTAAATCCAACCATATTCATGGGATTAAACAAAAGCAGCACATAAGGGAAGAAATGAATAATAGTAAAATATTCCAAAAAGACCCACAAAGCAATAGTAAACTCAGAATACTTACAAAAGCAGCAAGCAACCATGTATTAGTGAATTTTCAACTATACTCAGAACACTTAAACTGACCAGCCCACTTGAAACAACCTATTTGACTCGAAGGTCCACTGGATCTCAGAGGAACAGATACCCAATCTTTTACTTCATCTCAAACAAAAAAAAGATCATAGATTACAACCAATAAAAATTTTGAAGAATTGGCAGTTTTTAAGATTTACTAGTTCATGCAAATGGACGTTACTCGAAAGGGTAGAAAGATATTTTATGGAGAAGAAATCTAGAATCGTTATTCAAAAGGGTAGAAAGGTAGTTGGTGGAGAAGAAACCTAAAGGATGTAAGCTTAAACCAACAAATTT